TTAAAGTCAAACCGTGCGATCCGTCGCTTCGAGAACGGGTCCATGCAGGCGCTCACGGGTATCGCGAACGGACGCAGAGCGTTGATCTGCCTCAGACACTTCTGGTACTCGCGCATGAAAGCGCTTCTTTCGGTCTTGGTCGAGCCTGAAAATGTCGGCGGCTGCGGTAGCGCCGGTGCGTTCCAAACTTGCGGCGCCACACGGCCGTAACCGCCATCGCTGCCTATACCCGTGTCGTCACGGACATTCGACGGGTCGTTGTCGGCTGGCAACGTCACTGAAGCGCCATCTGCTTCAGTCGTTGGTGGAGCAGCTGCTGAGACAAATCTGCGACAGCTGGTGTTCCTCGGGTTGTGGTAGGGGTGTAAAACCCACCAAGTTGCGGTTACCACTCGTCGACAGCAAGTGGCTGTCATCGTCGGGGATATCTGAACGGGTCCTCCACGGTGCGCCGAACGGCGCGTCCTCGCGGTTCATCGATCCGGTCACGCGACCGCGATCGTTCTTCGGTGTTCTTTGGCGTTTCCTCGTCGGAGGAATGTTCGCGTACCATCTCCAGTGAAAAGCTCAACAATGAACTAAAGATATCTTTGTTTTGTCTCCGGCTTCTTCTTGGCTTTCGGTCACGGGGCCTTCGTCAAGGAAGCAAGTATAACACACTGACATTAGTGAGGTTAAACACGCCGAGAGGCGCCTACTGAGTACCATTCAGTAAAGTACTCAGTTCCTCCACTAAGGTATCGGCACACACACAGAGTGTGTGTGTTTGCAATGGGTCAAACTAACGCGCGACCCAATTGCTCTGCACAATGGCCTTTTCGGAAGATGCATCAGATATGATACTGTAACTTCTATATTACTGAAGCAATTTCAAGGCTTCCTTCGAATAATTTTTCTTCAGACTAGACTTCAAATGGTTTGCATTGACGTGATGCATGGCCAAGGTCACTGCCACCTTCGAAATTTGAGCGGAAATATGTCCATGAGGAACATGTGTTAATAGGTGCTAACTTAGTTTCTACTAAAAATCTGATATGGGCTTCACTGATCAAATTACCCTTCACACATTATTTTATTGGATGACCAAGGTGCATGAAATCATCAAGCACTACCCTTACAATGGTACATTTATTAGTATTACTAGTATGTACTAGTAGGACGTAACGTTAGTAATATATCCCGTCGAACGTAAGCATGGAACAACGACGTCGACGATGTGGACTACACCCTGTCTTTGCCCCTACGCCCGATGAATAATAACCCGCGTACATAGTAGTAGTAATTCTGGCTAGAGTTGGTGATGTTGAAGACGAAACTGCGAATTTCACGCTGCGTGGAGGTCAATTTGCCCCCTTGATGCCAGAAATCGCCTATAAATAGACCCATATTCAAAGTACTACTAGTACTGTAGTATACACTGGCTTTTGAATATTATTCACATCAGTGACTTGGAACAGCTCCGCATACAAGGAGAGATGATCAAGCTACCGAAATGGTTGAGCCGCAAGAAGAGCAATGCGTCGTCGAACCCGCCTGCTGCACCTCCCTTTGCACCGCCCACTGCACAGATGACTGCTCCGCTGCGGTCCCAGTGCTCTCTAAGTGCGCCGACAGCGTCTCGTCTGCAAGGCAATGGCTCGACACTCCAAACGACCGCCCCTCCCAGCCAACCTCAACCCGAACCGCTACCGTTCCAGCACCCGCTTTACTCGATGGATGTCGACGGCATGATCCGATTCAAAGCGACGGGGAAACAACTCGATGAGAACGACATCGCTATCCATCAAGAAGAAATCCTCAACGCTGTCGTCGGGTACGTACAAGACACGATGAAGCGCGAGATGGGGTTCCAGGAAGTGTACCTACCTTCAAACAGCCCCCAGCACCTCAAATGTAACGTGTTTGTGTCGTCCAACTACCTCACCGCCAAGAAACTCGTGCTCTTCGTCGCCGTGTCCCGCGGCCTCTCTCCCGGCATTTGGAGTCGAGGCCTCATCTTGAACTCTGGCGTCCGTGCAGGCTCCATGCTCGCGTACTTCCGCAAGGCGCTGGACGAAGGCTACGGAATCATTGTCCCGAACCCAAACAAGAACGCAGTCATGATGCGCGATTCCAACAAGAAAGTCCCGATTCCAGGGTCGGCGTCGCCCGAAGAGCACATGGACTCTGTCTGGGACGCGTTCGTGTCTCCTGCCGACGCCAAGCGCGTGTTTTTCATCGGGTACTCGTACGGGGGCGTGTTGGTCAAGTACCTGCTGCATTCCCGCGGCGAAGCGCTTCTCCGTCGGAATGGCGCCGTCGCGTTGATCGAGTCGTCCCATCGTATCGAAGACTGCGACACCCAGACCGTCAAGTCCCTTCTGGCCCATCGCGCCATGTACTGGGAAGTGAACCACGACGTGCCCCTCCAAGCCAAAATGGACGGCGACGCGCCGTACCGCACCGGGTGCACGTGCCTCTCGGCGGGCAAACCCCCCCGGGTGCTCACGAATCACTACTTTGTGGCCGCGTTTTGCATCAAGACCGTCATGGACCCCCTCTTCCGTTTCCTAAACGTCCGGTACGACCCCATCCATCCCAGACGCCAATCGAACGCGCGTGGAGCAATTCTAACGATGTTTTCTTGTTTTGGCACAATCATGTAGTGATGCCACGACCTATGTTGACACGGAAAAGAACCGACCGGCCGACTTGCCGCCGCCTCCGCCTGCATCGATTGACGACGGCATCTACACCATGGACACGTCCACCAACACGTTCCGTCCCGACATGAAGCGCACGCAAAGCGGCAAGTTCAACAACCCTGGCAGCGAGAAACACTGCAACCTGTGCTTGTTTCACTTTACGTTCTTGGACCGCCGCCACCATTGCCGCATGTGCCATCGCGCCGTGTGCAATGCGTGCTCCCGCGACCGGCTGTTCATGCCAGGTGCATCCACCGCCCAGCGCGCATGCACGGACTGCGCGTCGGACGGCAACAAGCCGTTCCCGCCCCCCGAGAGTCTCCTGCGGCAGCAATCGAGCGGCAGCAACGCCGACCAGCTAGCCACCGACCCCCGCGAAGACCGTAACCGTTCGACGTCGTTTGGTGAAAACTCGGCCAAGTCAAAGTTGGGCGTAGAGGACTTTGACCTGCTCAAAGTGATCGGGAAGGGTGCGTTCGGCAAGGTCATGCTCGTGCGCCGCAAGGACGACGGAACTGAAGACAGCATGACGGGCGCCACGTACGCGATGAAGGTGCTCAAGAAAGCCAACGTGTTCGCCAAGAACCAAGTGGAGCATACCAAGTCGGAGCGCCGCATCCTTCGCGACATCGACCATCCGTTCGTCGTGCGGCTGCGGTATGCGTTCCAGACCGAAGATAAGCTGTACCTGGTCATGGACTACTACACGGGCGGCACACTCTTCTTCCACTTGCGCAAGTCGCGCAAGTTTTCCGAAAAGCGCTCGCGGTTTTACGCGGCGCAACTGCTCGTAGCCATGGGGCACCTCCACGACGTCAACATTGCGTACCGCGACCTCAAGCTCGAGAACATCCTCATGGATGACAAGGGGTACGTGGCGCTGACCGACTTTGGGCTGTCCAAGGAGAACGTGGACGTGCCCGATGGCGCCAAGACGTTCTGCGGCACGGCCGAGTACATCGCGCCGGAGCTGCTCAAGGGTCTGAGCTACGGCAAACCCGTCGACTGGTGGGGCTTTGGCACGCTCTTGTTTGAAATGATGACGGGGCAGACTCCGTTCTTTGACAAGAACCGCAAAAAGATGTTTCACAACATTTTGCACCGCGACGTGATTTTCACGCCCGCGTTTTCCGAGGACGCCAAGGACCTGTTGACCAAAGTACGTGATTCAGTGGATAATGGATGGGTAGATGGATGGATGCTGATAAGTGATATATTGTGTAGCTGCTGTTGAAGGACCCGGCCAAGCGACTGGGAAGCGGCCCATCCGGCGCGCAGGAGATTATGGACCACCCGTTCTTTGCCAGCATCGATTGGGATAAATTATTGCGCAAGGAAGTGGACGCGCCGTTCAAACCCGTGGTCACGAACGAGCTCGACACAGGCAACGTTGCCCCCATCTGGACGCGAGAAACCCCCCGCGATTCCCCTGTGACGTCCCAGCAACTGGGCGCCACCGCGCGAGCCGCCAACCATTTCGAAGATTTCACATACATGCCGTCCAATGAAATGACGAAAAAAGTTTGACCAACCTGATTTGGTCGCTCCGTCTGCTACCTGCCGCTGCTGCATCCATCCATAGTTGCGACGCTCGTTTCCATGTGTATAATAGTGAATTCCAACCAGGGATCGGTATCGCAGTAGGGAAAATGGCGGCGAGGTTGCGAAATATTTCCATTTCCACGAAATATTCCCTCCCAAGGGCCCTGCTCAAGAATTCTGCCCTACTCATGGCCCCAAGGGATCCTCAACGCCTCCCATTGGTCAATCTGAAATTGCTTATTACTAGTATTTGTGATTGGTTAAAGTATATTTTCTATTTAAAAGGCCAAGTCGATAATAGCCAATCAACTGGTTTGTTTTCGTGCAAATTTGGGTGACTGTAAATGCGTCCAGTGTCCTCCACAAGAAATTCACATACATAGCATTGGTGCATTAGTTGAGGGATGCATGTCAGAATCGACTACAAAGCTTAGTACTATTAATACCTCTGTCCGAGTTTATTTGCACGATTCAGAATTTTGAAAAATGAACGTGTAGATTTGCGATACTTAGTTGAGAGCAAAAAGTGTCCGGACGGCCACCGCCAACACCCTCGCCCGTGCCTACGCCAACCCCCATGGTTACTGTCTTCATCCCGCAACGGGATTGATACTCCCATTCTCGTGTCAGCTACTGGAACAATCCGCACATCGCTCCCATATTCCTCCTCCGAACCCGACTTGGACTCTGACACGACACACACCGCGGCTGCCACACCGCTAACCGCACGCCAGATACGATCGAAGTTAGCTGCAGACAAGTTCCTTGTCCGACATGACCGCACGAGGCCAAAACGTGCCGCTATGTGGCCCCATGAACAACTCCCTCGCGCGTCCCTGCTATCTCAGACAACACCCACCTTACGCCGCCGACTCCAGCTCTTTACCTCTCCGAGAACGACAAAGACAACCCAAACCAACTATCCTACCTCTTGCCCTGTCCCTCCAGACCACCAAGGGTTCCACATTCTCCACTGCCAGGCCAACTACTCCTACCTCCTCCAAGATCACCCGAAGTTCCTCCACGCAGAGCTCGCCCCCCGCGACATGGAGCCGAACGCAGACCACCGACAACACAACAAACAGGAACCACAGACCAGGCGCGCCAACCCATCCCCCTTCTACCACCGAATACACCCATTACTACCACACCCCGTACTAGACTCTCCATCCATGTATCCACTGAACATCCAGCTCCCCAGGCATATCCCCGTCCACCGCCTAAGGCCACCATTCTCCCAACCAACTGTCCCACGCCCTCGCCTGCCACAGTCAGGTTGACACTAACCAACCGTACCATAGCACCCAAAAGGGCATCCACATCAACTCCAACCTGGAACACCCTCTGGAACACGACCTTCAGGTCCCATCGATCATCCCATTGCCTCATTTTGGCTACATGTCATCCCGTGGCACCCATCGACACAGATGTACCACTCCCATCCGACCCATCATCGCACCCATCACCGGTACCACAAGATACTGTTCAGCCGGAAGTTCTGCAAACCCAGTCCACGAGCCCTGCCCACCACCAAGTGCTCACAGCACACCCTGGTACATCTACTATGCACCAAACACTCTCCGACCCTCCCCCCCTGGCCAACCTCCATCCATAGGCACCCAGCCACTGCCATACTACCAACCCGCCGAACAAAGGGCACAAATGGGACATGCCACGGACCAGCAAACTGCACAAACGGGACAGGCCCCGGTCCAGCCAATGACCCCATTGGGACTGGACGCGGTCCAGGCCACCCCTCCACCAGCTCTATTACCCATCCACCCCCTGGGTACCATCTGCCAAACGCCCACACTCCGAAGTGGAACCAGACCTGAACCTTGCCCATCCCTATTTCCAACTACCACCGGCCAAACGACACCACGCTATGCTATACCCGCCAACCCCTTCCTACCAGCCGGGCCCATACGACCCAGCATAGCCCACACAGGGCGGTGCTGATCCACCCACCCACCAGGAAGATCTCGACGAATACAAGCACGGCCTTCCAATTTCCAGGCCTCCGCAACCTCTGCGACGAAGGCCAGCCAATCTTGTACCGCACCATGCCTATGTACTGGACGCGAGGCACATCTCTTCCATGGCTTTACTCCCGAGGATATTGCCGACATCGAGCGCCATTTCGCCGAGACAATGGTCCGGGTCCAGTTCTCCATCAATCCGTCGCTCCAGCACCCAGACAACCTACTTAGCATCGTCAACTACCGCAAAGAAATCGAGACCATCTGCGAGGAACGCTTTGGTTTCACCTTCCACAGCGACCTCAACGAACACGGCCAGCAGCTCCTTGGGACCCCCATCCAGCGCACCGCCCAGGCCTGGGCAGCTCCACGACGTGGATACCTCTTCCTCCGCGACATCGCAGTGGTCAAGTTATACCAATACGCTGGAGTCCTTAGCAACGGGCTGTATTACCATCAGCTGGAATACTATAACCGGTCCAAACTGGCTCCTGCGGACCTCCTGTGTGACCTCCACGCCCTTGGAACCACCGATGCCATCGTACAGAGATGTCTATGCCCCACGGCCCGCGTGACCATTGGGAGGCCATTGGGTGTGTTAACTTGCCCACTGAGGGCAACTACCGCTTCCGCCTGATCTTCCCCAGCCAAACCATGGCAGAAACTGTCGATGCCAACTTCAGCCCACATGCGGCTGGAAAAAACCGACTTGACCAGGTCCCTCCATCTATGAAGCTCTATCCCCTCCGTGATCTCAGCTGGGATAACCCCTCCTCCACCTTTTTCCACCCCCCAGTGCCGCCGCCCTTGTGGACACAAAGGTCCGCATCGGCCCGCTCCCTACCCTCACCACTCCCGAGGACATCCTTGCAGCACTCCATGGCTCCCAGCTTCCCACCCCTAATGTGGACATCATCGACAACTATGCGACCACCTTTGACTCCCCCTCCGGATTGCCTCAGGCCCACATGGGAACACTCGACTCTACGTACGCAATATAGCCGTCCAGCTACACGTACTCATGGACCGCCCACGTACCACTGCGATAGCGGTGCAAATGCCCCGACTGTGGCCGCCTAGACCACCAATACAAAAAATGTGACCGCTTCACGTATCTGGACCCCCGCGACCGTGCACGCAGCAAATCGCGTCACAAATCCACCGGCCGTGGCGCCACGCGCAGTCCGGTCGCACGATCACCCAGCAAGAGTGGTCTCTCACGCGCCGGCCGCTCGGCCTCTCAAAACTCCGCCAAGGGGAGCCATCCCCCCAAACCTGCAATACCCCCTTCAACGACAACCGGTGCCAGCCCCAGCCCCGACCACGGACTTTGGCCCACACCGACGACGGGAACTCTTCTCCTACGTTGACAAACGCATCGTCAAGGCCACAGACCCCCTCCAGCAGGAAGTTGATACCCTCACAGCCTTAGTTTCTGCTACCAGTGCCGCCTTCACCACCCTCCATGCGCGCCTCCTTGAGGAACGAGCCTCCGTGAGGCCGATGAACGCCAACAAACCGAGAACCAGCGCACCTTGACAAAGGCACAAAACCGTCTGCAAACCGCCATCACACAGGAGGACACACATCAAGCGGCAATTGCTGAACGGCCCCCCATCATTCCCAAATTTGCTTGGTACCCCACAAGTGGTTCGCGGCGCACCGAGCCGAAACCGTCGGCAATCCTCCTTGTGCCGCCGCTGGACCCAACCAAGCTGAGTATGTCACCTCACTCCCCCGGATACCTCCGCGTCCTGGTCCACCTCCAATCCCACCCAGAGCACACTGATGAGCTGCGCGACGAAATGTCCACATGGGACAGTGTCATTGCACTTCAGCTCTCACTCACGTTCGAAAAAGCCTTAGCCGCTTTCCCCCTCCTTTCCCTCCTCCACTGGGGTCCTCTCTACAGCAGCGACAGTCCCATCATCCTTGCTCCTTCCGGTCACCATCCTTTGGACGTTCGATGCAGCCTGCCTCAAGGCGACGCTCCACCACCACACAAATCTCCGGTACCCCGGGCCGCCACAACAGCACATCCAATTCCATCAGAGCCAGTCCGCCCCGTCTTTACAACGGTCCTTTCGTCTGCTGCAACCACGTGGTTTCCTATTCAGCACTGGGCCAATAAACCAGCAGTAGCCACATCTGTCCCGCCACAACAAGCCTTCACCCGGACTAAAGTCAAGAGCATCCGGTTCACAATCAGGCATTGGGTCCCTCGACGGGAATACACAACTGCGCCATGCGTCCCTGAACCATCGTCACTCCAAGCCCGCCACTCTCACCGCCGGTATACGGCCCACACACAACTGCCATCAGTGGGCATTCGAAAGCCGAAGCACGGCTTTCTCTTCCGCAATGCGGTATCAACGAGCAACAACATTTTTGGCCTTTGTGGTCATGCCCAGGATTTGGGTTTCCCTTCAATCCGCTGCCCATCCTCCAGTGATCGATGCGTCCACCCTCGACGCCCCCCGCGAAAGCCAATTATTGGAACCACTCGTCACTAGCGCCCGTGCTTGTGGACGAACCACATCAACCGCCAACAACGACTCCGCAGTGGACGGCCCACCACACTCCCCTCCCCCCGTTACGTCCGCTAGGTGAAAACCACCTAGTACGTGGCCGAGGCCATTAAGTGCCCGCTGAGTGATTGTAACTTTACAGCGTAATATCAATATCAATATGAACGGCCTCCCATCATCGAATCCAGTCTCCGCACCCTTATGCAAGCCATGCAGAGCGTTTCCAACCAACTAACTGGCCTAGCTGCACTCGAAACCCCTCCGGTCCACCTAACGACTGAGTACCCCGCCCAGCCTACGCAGGTAGTACCTGCGTAGGCGCTGGGAGCGGTGGCATCGCCCCACCGGACAACCCAACCAAACCAGACGACTCCTTGGGGACAGATCCAAACGACCCCATGGGGTCAAATTAACCCCGGGGTGTCGGGCCAGACCATCGACACCCCGGCAACGCCCCTGGTCTGAAATATGGTAGTTCCTGAGTTTCCTTCTTTGGCCCACCTACTCCATCCCCTTGGTCGCCGCCACTAACCGGGACCCCACTCTTCTATCCTTGACACAACAACCAGCACACTATGTGCATTCTCTAAATTCTGCATATCCCTTTGAACACCTACGTGACCCGCCCTCTTACCTCCACCAACCCTCCCCACAAGACCCTCCCACCACCGCTACCGCACCCATACAGCGCCGCCGCTCTAGGCGGATCCAGCGCCTCCCTGAATACGGCCCGCATGCAATGGAACAACATCCTCCGCAGGGAAATCCTCGAAGGTGAGTCCTACATTGGCGACGTGGGCCGCCCCGGACCACGACCTGCTGCGTATTGCATCGACCAACATCAATAAAAACACGTACGGTAATATGAGCGCTGAACTGGTCACATGGTTCGGAGCCAACGCGCTTGACTTCCACATCATCCCCGACTCCGACTTGCTGGCACACAAGGCCACACAGCTCTGGACGCCCACACCCGGTGGAGTACTCACTCCCAACCTTATGGTCATCAGCAACCACCGTGTCAGAATTCTCTACGGCATCCAACGCTGGCACTCCCGCATTGGCGCCCGCCGCACCAAATACTCCCCATCTGGGCGTAGTTTAGCCATCACTATCCGCCTCGGCAAAGGTACACTGGTTACACTACTTGGCACGTATGTCAAGATAATCCCGCTGCCCTCAAGGAGGACACGGATCGCGAATGGCAATGGCTCGCACAGGCAGCCACTCGTGACACAGGTCACAACACAATTTGGTCATTGTTAGCCATAGGTAGACAAGGATTGAAGTTACATAGTTAAAGCTATATATATGTGATTGAAGCTGGAAGAGCTTCAGGCTTCACATCTCTCGACTACTTCAGTGTGTCGAGGGCCAATAGCTGTCCTACACACACTACTTGAAGGTTGCATATATTGAGAGATATGACAAACTTCAATCAGTGCAGCTAAGGTTGCACTACTTACATGTATGCATGTCTTTGGCGATGATAATTATGGAGGTTCTAGAGCTAAGCTCACTTCTGAATCCACCTTCCTTTGAGCCACTACCCCTACATCTGTGTGTGTTGTGTGCCAACGTCTGTTAGTCATAGGCGGCGATTTCAACACCTATGGGCCCAACCCCCTTGACCGGTCTGCTTCAACGCCACGCTCTGGCCCCGGCACTGATATAGGCACTGCCTTCCAACAATGGACGCAGCGCATGGGTCTTGTCTCTACCTTCCGTCACCGCCACCCTGGCATACAAGGACACACGTACGCCCGCAATAACATGGCCGTGGCTCTAGACGACATCTACATCATGGCCCGAACAGCCCATAAAGTGGGAGCCAATGGCATCTGGCTCCACACCATACAACCCAGCGACCATGCAGCACTCCATACATGGCCCTTGACCTGTGTCCCGGTGATCACACTCCCTCCCGGCTTACTGGGATACAGCCTATCCGTGTTGTCAACACCCGCAAAGGATGATATTGCTTCCTTTCGTGCGCACACATCCAAACCCCTCCTCGATGGCCAACTCCCCCAACTAATTCCCGCACCCCCCGCTAGCGCCGACACAACGTGGTCCTCCCAAGAAATCGTGGACTGGCTCGACGGTGCTTTCCGCAACCTGTACGACATACTATACACCAGCGCGAAAAATAAATGGGGAGAAACCAGCCAAACTAGGAAAGCTCTTAACAGGGCAGTCGCGATACAGAGAACCAACCGAAGCGCAGTGCAGCTCCGACAACTTCTACGCCTCCATGAGGCGGCACCACACACCGGCACAGAATACACCCGACTTGCCCACCAAGTGGAATGGCCCAAGTGGATCCGCAACTCCAACCTTCTCCCCCCCTCGTGCTGACACGCGCTGTTGCCATTGCTGTTGGCGAATGGTGGACTACCATACCTATCACACATGACTCTTCCCAAGATTGGGACCAATGGCTCCGATAGGGACTCGCGCGCTGGGCCCAAGTCTGTCGCAAACGTCGGGACTGGCAAACTACTAGCCTATGACAAACACGGGTGCAACAACGTACGGCATGGTTAAACAGCCGCCAAACCCGGAAATTCCTCCGCTCGGCCCTCGGTACTACCGCACCGCCCATCTCCATCCAGAGCGTCATCGTCCGTCCTACCGATGGACCCCCGAGGTACAGTTCCGACCGGGACGAAGTGGCCGCTGGACTACGCCATCTGCTTAACAACTGGATTCCCCCGGCCGAGAAAACGACGCGTTCCCGGCACCTGGACACAGGCCTTGACGCCGACCGCCAACAGGTCCCACACATTGTCCGAACTGGCTCCTCCATGACATGGATCGCCCCGATGAGGTTGCACGGGCCTTCGAAACCCCTGAGGGCACCACTTGGGACACCTCCACTACGATGAAGACATACAAGCACGCTGCGACTGCAGCCTCCGTACACGCGCCTCCCCTGGATATGGGGGCGTCTCACAGAAACTCTGGATCGCTGTCCCTGCATGCATCCGCGAACGGGGATGGGTGATTATCAATATTATCCTCGGCACAGGCCTGGTCCCGCCGATCCTCGCACGGAAACAGATGATCTACCTTGCCAAATCGGCCACAGCCCACGGGGTTGTAAACCTAGACCCTGGCCTTCCACCCTGGAGCCCCATTACGGTACAAAGCGCCTTCAGCAGCCGCATCTTTACCGTTATACGGAACTACATCACCCCCTGTATTCCTAACCACGAAATGCAACATGGCTTCCAGCGAGACCGCACCGTTCAGGATGCGGCTGTCCTCACCTTACACCGTATTGAACGTGCCGAACGAGGGCAGGAAGAACTATTCCTTATCTCCAAGGACTGCCTAAAATGCTTCGACCGCATCCCGGGCTGGGTCATGGAATACTTCTACCGTAAACTCGGGGTCCGCCCCTCCCGCGCCAACTCATGCCCATTTCCTTGGGGACAGCCAAATATATATCCGCACGGTTTTCGGCTGGCTCGACGGCGGCATCCGGGAATTTGGCATTGGACAAGGCTATATCCTTGCGGTCATGCACATCGGCTACTATATGGACGTTCCCCTCCGCCAGCAACAAAGCGGCATCGATCCCGTCCGCATCGTATACAGCCAACACCCTCAGGGCGCGCAAACTCGCACCATCTCTAGCCTCTTCATTCACAACGCCCTAGACATCTCGACCTCATATGCTGGCATCCAAGACCGGGCCCAAATCTCTAACTACTTCACAGGCCAATCCGCATCTGGCGGCGTGTTTGGAGAAGACAAATCCTTCCTCTTCTACCTCTCCCAGCGCGCACATCCCGACATTGCCCTCAATGTCGGGCTGGGCATTCCACAACCCATTCGCGTCCTCATGGAACCACTCGAGGCCTGCCAGCTTGATAACGGCCTTACCGACCACCCCTCGCCTTTTTTTCGCATACCCACACCACTCTTCTTGGTACGATGCTCCGGGACCTTGCCACTTTCAAGCCAGCCCTCAACATCACCACGCAATGGCACCAACCCCCCGCCAACCTTCCACGTCGTCCCAATGACCGCCCAATCTGGGACTACCTTACCCCAGCCCTTGGTACGACCCTCATCTCCATCAACAGGCTACACACAATCAAGGTCCGCTGGGTGGGGGACATCACCAACGACAAGGGCACCATGCTGCAAAGCCTTTGGCTGGACCACTCCAACAGTTTGTTCCCATTTGGGATGCCATCCCCATAACCGCGCCACCCACCCCACCACCACCACTCCGGCAACAAACACTACAGTAGGGCCCCCGCCCTGTCGCCCAACCACTACCTCCCCAACTGCCAACTCCGCATCGTTCATCCCTACCGTACCTCGCTTGCCCACTCGGCCGTACCTTCTTTGTTCCAACCCGTGGTTACGAAACTCTCCACATCCTGTCCACATCATGCTAGTAATCCCCCACCACCTTATCGATCCGGATGACCAACCCCCCACTCTCAGCTACCGCATCGGCCGTCGTACCATCTCCAAACCCGGCAAACACAGGCGGGCACTGAAATCGCCGTCACCTTCTGGCACGAACTCCGTAGGGACTCCGACAAATAGTACTCCCCAACACCGCGTGAAGCACGAGGCCGCCACCGCCTGGTACCCATTGCGGGCTGTGCAGTTCTTACTGGCTGACTCCTTCCCACCAGCCGGGCCCAACGCCTCAAGTTCCTGCCCTGGACCGACACGTCCTGGACTAATCTGCGCACATGTATCATCCACCGCGGAGACAATAACCGGACCCTCATTGCCTCAACGGCCGCAGCCACCACCGACCCGGCTCAGACCCCTCCTGGGCCCTCGCATTCCATGTTGGCCTGTACCGCCTGCCAGCGCCTAGCGGACACTACTATCTATCTCGACTGTGGTCAATGGCACCACATGTCATGCATCCCACACTGCCGGGTCATTCCGGACCACAGCACCCCGACGTATGGCCTCCACACCCTTCACCTACGGGCTGCGCGAACTCATTCTATCGGCGACGGCATCGTCACGCACCAAGGTAACTGGGCTGCTCACGGTACATGGAGGTGCATGGGCAGAGATGGCACTACCCTCGCTGGATCCATCCAAGTACATGCTGGTAATGTCACACCATGGGCCACGACCGACGCATCCGCGCCCGCATAGCCCACCTCACAGCCAAGACGCTCCACTGGCACTCCAGACGACTCTCTCTACTACCACCCGCCGCTCATTCTCCCACTGGCTACACCTACCAGCATTCCGGCCACCGCGACTTCCTCCGGACCCCGGGATACCAAACCTCCAGTGGCTTAAGCATCCCATATACCCTGGAGCTCGACACAAATAGGTTTTCCAAGTAGTTAAGTCCACTAGCTGCTATTGCAGCTAGTACTCTTCCGAGGCCATTAAGTGCCCGCTGAGCGATTTCAACTTTACAGCGTAATATCAATATCAATATAGTAGTACGTAGTATAAGATTGGCGATCCATGCAAGTCAGAAGTGAAAGCGACTGGAATTCGTCGAATAGTAGAGTTTCTACGTTTTATTTACTTCGGATCCTGATGAAAAATATGATGAGAATTTCCCTAACGTTAGGTACAGTATGGTAGCCAAACAAACATGACCCCTCCATAGCGTCAAAGGTCCGATCGTGAGTGGTCATATAGCGGTCATACATAGTATACTTAAATCAATATATAAATAATGGGGGTAGAATGGCATGGCAAAACTACTGCAAATACCTCGAAGTTTACCAAGCCGTCTACACTTCATATCCCCAGAGTAAACCATCTTGGAAGTATTCTTTGTCACTGTTCGGTCGGACTTTAAACCGCCAAAGGACCAACATAAACCGCCAAAAGACCAACTTACTGTTATAACAACATGATTTAATGATTGTCTGCGAGCAATCTAAGAAGAATTATGCAAAATTGAAACAAATGTATTTTGAAAACTCATCCCCTTTGTAACATAATATAATACGAATGTACTTAGTTACACAGGTTTATTTGCTGAATAACTTATGAAACATAATATGCTATTTGAGGACACTGACTGCGAAGGGAGATATTTTTTGAATAAGAAACGGCACCAGAGCATCATACAATCAACGGAGTCCATGCGCTAGTCGTGGCTTCACGACGAATACCGCCTGGACTCTGTTCGTTGCCGCTTGTGCACCTCGTGGCAAACATGCGCAAGCTGAATGTCCGACTTGCGCCAGCGACGTCTGCTATCGCGGCAATCCAGACTCATCATCCTAGGCTCGCGTCCAACAATCAGTGCAAATAGCAATCAGTTCACGTACCGGCCGTGCCATCTTTGTCTGCTGCGGCAGTTCATGTCAACAGGCATCCTTTGTCGACGCATGGGGCATCAGTCTCAGAGCGGCTTTTGTGGTCCACTGACCACATCAAATTTAAGAGTGCACGGCCCATCACCATTTTTGCTTGCGAAAAACAGGGGTTCTCGAAAGTTGCGATGGACTATTCGGATTGGCTTATTTTTGAGCGCTACACACTTCCCATTCTTCATTGCCCATGCTCCATTTTTAACTTTGAAACCCCCTATTGCTGCATCCACATCAAAGCGCCCATTTGCAGTCATGGAGAGTGCAAGCTCTTACGAACTCTCACGAACTATTTTATCCGGATGAATTAATCATCCATTTTCGACTTGAACGATGGGCAGGACGAAGCGCAAGCATAGTGAAGCAGTGGCAGGAGATCGTGTTGTCGCCTTACGGCTCGTTCAGGACACAAGGGCCTAGTACACGTATATACTAGAAGGCTTCAAGCGATGGCTTCTCTGCGAGCACCAGGAGTTTGTAGTCAACTCCGTCATTCAATTGCCTCTGTCGACCACTGTCTGCCAGACATACTTAGACTTTGCGTAGTCCAAATGACGGAGTCGACTACGAGCTCAAGCGCGATGCTACAGGATCGGAGCTAGTGCCTGAACGATTTAACTCGTTTTTGACCCTTTGGGACGTATTAAAGTGCATTAAAGTACCTTTACCAGGAGGCCAACTTCAAGATGCACGACGACCTGGCCGCTAGGCTCAAAGGTATGATGCGAGCGTTTAACCTTGTACTTATACAATGCATAATTATTTTCGTGTAGATTTCGCAATTGGACACAAGCGCCACATTGCCCAGCTCAAAGATGGTGAAATGCCAATAGGAGAGAGGAAAGTACCCATGACAATTGATGGTAGTTATGGTGTAGTTTGTGTTAGACTTAATTAGTTTAATTAGGTTATTCATATTTGGCTCGAGCGGCGTTGGCTGCAAGGTCAGACCGCGCGCAATCAACGCGCACACTTTCCTCGTGTTTTGTTTGAATTTGATGGCGCGCTCGGTGTCCACTGCGTCAATTCGTTTCGACAACGTCACATGGCAAGGTAGATTGTAATTGTTGAAGTTGCTTACTGATCGATTGCGTACTGATGTTTGGTTAGGCGATGCCCTTTTGGTGAAATTAGGTCGAACGAAAAGAGACCAAGAAGGTGCGGGTCTCTTTTCAAAGCACGTTTATGCCAAATCCGACGTGCATGGATTTATCCAATATTGAGGTTGATAGAATTTTGAATTTACAACGAATATTTTTGTATTAGCCTGGCAATTATAATATTCACGCGAGGGCTTCCAAGGAAGGAGAGTTCAACGTTGCTCTTTGGCGTGAACGCCACGGCCCGATTTTCGAAGTGGTTGCTCAAAGTGTGCTGCGAACGAAGCAGAGATCGTTGCCATGGGCATGCCGGTTTCTGACATTGGTACACACTCGTTCCGAAAAGGCGTGGCAACATCGGTGTCGAACACGCCGGGGGGAGCACAGGCTGTATCTATTTGGCTACGCGCTGAATGGAGTCTTGGCAGCGTTCAAAGACGCTACATCTTTGAGGGTCAGGGGGTGATCAATTCGTCGGTCGTGTGGCTACAGGTTCAAGTATTGTATTAAAATTAAGTATAATTATTCATCATATAAGTTAATAGATCCCCAATTAAGTTCAAGTGCTTTTGGCGCGCTACCTCCCATTTCGCACGAAGCGCAGCACTTTCGTTGGAGGAGTGGGAGAAGTACTTGCCAGGCTACACAACTGAGTACCCAGCCTGTTTTCGCTGCGTGTTACCCTATCTGCTGGCTTCGTTGGCATTTCACCATGAGTGGTTGAAAGTGACGTTTAGTCCGGGGCATTCTCTGTTTATGTCGCTGGTGTGGCGTTTGGGTAAATTGAACCACTTGTCGCAAGTGGTACACAGTGGCGTGTCAAATTCAACAACTGGAATGGTGGCTACTGGTGTGCCGCCCAACGTCGTCGTGGTTGATCAGCTAAACCAACTCGAAAACAAGTTTAACTTGTTTGAAAATAGTGTCATGAGTCGACTTAAATAAATTCCGCACGATGTGGCCATGAAACTCAGAGACCCCGTTTTTGTCACACACTAAATAACGAAATACACACGAACTTTCACGAAAACCACATAGAAAACACATGGGCTTCCAGCACCAGTATTCGTTGGGGATGATCCCAAGGGAGTATATACACGTGTTTGTTTACACCACTGGCGTGTTATTAGGTACATGTATGGTCGGTCACACGCATGAGTTGGGACGCCGTGACAGAGTGGTCGGCCACACATAGCGTTGACAGAGTCGAGTAAGTATACTTGAATTAATATGCACTGATTTCTCAGTGTAACACGAATCGACGTCAGCACCAACCACATTACTACATTGACGACCACCACACTCGTCAATGTAGCGCCTGATGGGTGGTGTTGACATGGCGCTGGTGTCCGCCGTCGTTGAGTATTCCTTCTTCAACGACGGCAGATACCACCACCACGTCCACGCCAAACACCATGCAGTGCCGCACACGAATGAACCACGCAAGGGGGTCGACGCCAGCACCTATCACACCACCACGCATGTGCCATGCCCAACCACTTCGACGCCAACCACCACTAAATATTACCAATAATGCTTTCTTAATCCCACATTTATAAGGCAATAGTGGAAGAGTACACATGCAAGATAGCATTTTGAACGACTGTGATGTCAATGATTACATGGAGTCACCGTGAAATGAACGAGTCTTAGTAATTCGCTTACACCATTTAACTCATGTGTGTATAACACCTTAACAACGCAATTACCTAAGGGAAGCACCATTAAGCAACTCAAGGATGAATCCTTATGACCACAGCGAGCGACTTTGAGTACACACAACACAAACAAAGACCGTCATGTGGCGCTATCGCTAAGTAACTCTTGTCGACGCGCGCTGTGCTCACGTCGTAGCGCCGTCACTGTGTGGCCTCGTGCCTCCGGCACCAAATGTCCTCCCTAACGCAGCCGCCCCATCGGAAGTGAGGAAATAAAGAAATGAAATGTAAGGACTGGGGGCTTTCCACATACATTCTGGTTGGGCGAAAAGAAAACACATGGAGTGGCCAGATTCTACATTACTTCAAGTTCAAGTACAGTAACAAAAAAGTACGATTGATTTCGGGATTTCCGGGGCATCGCCGCCACATATCTTAACCACGACACTGTTCGAGCTGATATATGTGTTTGTACTTTACAGTGTATTAGTGCAAATTAGAGCACTTGCACACGAAACCGTTGTTTATGCCTTTGGTGTCGACTCGCAAAGCAACGGAGCCATGGATCACACTACCGGTAATGATAGTACTGTATTATGATGACAGTTCGGTTGTAGATACTAGTAGATGTGAGTCAAGCATACATAGTGGTAAAAGTTGCTTAGTGTAAACGTTGCTTAGTGCAATGTGGGTGTACGTGCTGGTAGTGGTACAGTGCACTGTAGTCGCATGGATGTGGGTGCATTGGGGTTTGGGTGCATTTTTCCACGTACCGAAGCGAACTGTACAGTAAGGTGGTTAGATGTAGGACATTACGGATAGCCTCAAAGCTAGTGTACTGCAAAACGAAGTGGGTGTTTGATGGCATGAGGAACAACCGGGACAGACTGTTTAGTCTGTGTTAATCATGCAAGCTATATAACTTCTGAGGAGAGCATTGCAGCTGAAAAAGGGGGAGCATAGTACAGTAGTTGAGGGGGAGTATAGTAGCTGAGGGGAACCATAGTAGCTGAGGGTGTGAATATTGATTATAGCATATACACTACTACTCTCGACGATCTCAGTCATCAGCAAGTGAACGACTCCAGCTCATGCATCTCAACTCCCACGGTATGTGACTTGGTGACCCAAAGTCTACTTAAACTGCGACTACGGTACTTTTTACCTACATCTTACTTCTGTATACAGTCACATACATCAATGGGTCTCCAGTCGGAACAGTTTTTTGCTGCTGCAGTACTAGTACTTGTAGAGGGCTGCCACGTTAGCGAAATTAGGATTGCTGCTTGATGTGTGGTGCGGCCAGCAAAAGGAGTGGTTAGATTTCAAGAAAAAAGGAAATCTACGAAGGTGTTCAAACCTACGACCTTTGCCACTCCAAGCATAGCTTCTCCCATTGAGCTAATCGTGCCATGAAAGTAGCCAATGAATCATTTCATGACTTCGTGTATATAAGCGCATTTCGGTTAAGACGTTTTATTGTGAATTCGCTATAAAAAACTTCCAAAATTTGCGTGGTTTGTCTAACCAATATTGAATCACGCTGGAGTTCTGATTGGCTGTTCGATTCGGCGGCGTGATTCGATTCGACGAGGTCTGGAAATTCGTACCGAACCCACAATACTTACAGTACAACATACAGTACTGCATTGGCTGAAATATGTGTTGGCACTAATACATAAGCAGATACAGGGAACGACGTTGAATAAGGCTGGAATGTGGCGCTGTGATTGGTAGAGAGTCAGTTCGAATTGACCAATGGCGCTACGGTTGCACCTATCATCAAATACGTTTTGACACAGAAATATTACATTGTACAGGTTATTATTGAATAAGGTAATGGCACTCCTGAATCGATGAGAATTACTACGTAGTAAGTTGTATTTACAAAGGGAACTGAGTCATAGAGGAAAATCGCGAACTTCCATCATGTCACTGCATTCACGTTACACACCTGAATGCCAAGTGATTTTGATACCGATCAATCTTATTTCATACTATTAATAGTACTACTGGTAGTACGAGTATAAATTAATAAAAATTTCGGATTGGGTCAATGGTCTCCAGACATAGAGTCTCTATATCCCCCCCAATTTCCCACTGTCGAACAGATGACAGGCAGCCGCGCAATGCTCACTGACAAGATTTCGGTGTGTCCGTATAACATTGTCGTCAAAATAAGGGTACCAGTCATTGAAATTGGCCCCGAGCGGGACTGCTGGAGCATGGTCTGCTGCTGAACCCAACATCGTACGGTTAGTTCGTCGTATCCGAGGACATTGGCTGCATGGCTCACACTCGTGTCAGTGGCTATACCCACGGCGTGCAACTTCTGTGCGATCGTAGGTCTCGTACGGTGAACAACACCTTTAGGCTGCATATGCACACCATCCGAAGCCATTTGGGGAGGCGATTGGTTTGTGGAGGTAGATGACCATTAATTTATTTAAAATTATCGCCAAATATTTTCAGCCATTGAAATTGTATAATTCCGAACTCTGATTACGATTGGTTATCCGGTGAGTTAATTTGGCGCGGCCTTATTCAACGTCGTTCCCTGATTATGATCGCTGTTAGTACACTTGTCGTAAGGACCTAAAAACAATTGGTTCAGTAGAGTGGTGCTGAGGTGCTCATAGCTGTCCCATTGTAGCTACTGCAGCTTACAGTTAACAAGGAATTTCAACAGACGCCCACTACGCCTGCCGCGGATGTGCATGTGACTGAATCGAAGAGAGAGATTATTACAGTTGCATGTCAATCCAATACCATGCAAGTAATACTAGCAATAGCAAACTATCAATATAATCAGATGTACTTAACAAGAAGTTTGCATAGGCTTCAGCTGTACTTGCTACCGATGCGACAGTAACGGAGCCGAAGCCAGTCGTAGTTACAACCGCACTTGGTGCATCATTTTCTCTTGACGAGAAGAAAATGCGATATCGCAAAGAAACAAATCGACTTCGCATGGCTGCTCAGCGCACAAACCAGTGATCAACAGAATCTGCTGACGATCGGCTAAAGCGACAAGTCGATCAAAGACCCAAAAGTGCAGTAACCCGAAGCCTGGAGACTCCAGAGCAGCATGCTCGACGTCTTCAACAACTCAAGCCAAAGCCTATATGGAATCTTCCGCGGAGCACGCTGAACGCCTACGGAAACTCAAGTCAAAGCGAGATATTGAGCCTTCCGAGGAGCATACTCTTCGCCTACAGAACATCAAGGAAAAGCGTGATATGCAACCTCCCGTAGCGTACGAATTACGACTACAGCAGATGGCGGCGCGGCGCGACATGAAAACTTCAGAAGAGCGTGCGACAAGTCTCCTAAATCTGAAGGCTAGACGCATTATGCAATCTCCGGAAGCGCATGCCTCGCGACTGCGTAAGCAGAAGGCATACTGGGATATGGAAACTCCAGAAGTGCATGCTACGCGGCTTCTAAACCTCAAGGCGAAGCGATACATGGAATCCCTAGAGCAACATCGGGCGCGATTGGACAACCAAAGAGCTCAACGAAGCTTGGAGTCTCGAGAAGGCCGTGTTATGCGTTTGAGTAAGCTTCAAGCGAAGAGAAAGCTGGAATTGCCAGAGGACCGTGGCGTTCGCTGAAATGCAATGAAAGTGCAACACGCAGCACAAAGAAGTGCTGAATCTCCCGAAGCTCGCTCTAGTCGTTTGGGTTACCTCAAGGCGCAAAGGAAGGCACTAAAAATGTCGGAAACCGTAGCTGGCATTGACACTCGAATGTTCCCACATATGTTCCCATTTGGCCGTGGTTACACCAACGAACGCGGCCGACGAGTCCCAGTGTCTAAGTTGCAGTGCTGTCGGCTGTATTTCTCCCTCAGCTCACGACGGTTTGTTCAAGATCGGTACTTCGTCATGGTGTCCTTTGATCGTTTCGGTCTCGATCGTGGATTCACATTTCGACCAAAGTCCGACCGTCCATGCATACCCCGGTGGTGAAAATATCATATGACCATATGCGGAAAGGTCTGGAGAACGTCGATTTGGTCGTACTCCAAAGCACAAGTCTGTGAGCAAGGGCGAACTTCTCCGGTCCGTTGAATGCAGCTCATCGTTTATATGGGGCAGCAATGCTGAACGTCGAATGCATCGTCGAGAAGCCTTTGCCACAGACGATCGCTTTGGCCAGCCAAGTCTTTTAGTCACCATCACGCCAAACTGGATGGAACAATCACTTTGGCGTATTTCGCAGGAGGCATCCAAGTCAAGTCGCTGTTTGATGTACAGTACCTCAAGCACATGCCTGACAAAGCAACCATGCAACAACTGGCGATGAACGACAACATGGCGTCCCCTACTCTTTTCGATCGAAGCATCGAGGCGTTCACCAAAGTTGTTGTGGGTTTCGTCAAGACAATCGGTCGACCAAGAAAGACTGGCGGAATATTCGGCTATGGCAAGGACCTTCTTCACACCCCCTGCAAGGCGTGTGAACATGTGGATACCAAGTATGAAGCGCTCGACCCTCCTTTGACAGCCTTCGAAAAACCACGCCGCTCAGAAGGCGTGCTCCCGAAAGAGCCCATTATGGCCAAGTGTGGACATTGCAACACGATGGTCAGCTCCCAGCACTTGGTTCGGCAAGCCCTCCTTCATTCGAGACTAACATTCTGGCTGGTGCGCGAGCAAATCTCGAAGAGTCCAACACAGCGTCGAATACGTACGTTGCCCCCGACAAAGACACATTTTGTTTGGATCATATCTACCGCGAGCTGTCGAGCACACCGTTTGGGCCAAATGAGACCCGACGGGACGGTCGCATTGCTCTTCGTGCTTCAAACAAAGCCGCAACACAAGAGCTGCACAAATGTGCCGATATTTGTTCCCTCGGGCCCGAGTTGATGTTGGACGCATTGGCACCAGCTGAAGATGGCGTGGCCTTGTCCGATGAAGTCAAGTGCCGTCGTCGCTTGGCGTCTCACATGTTCAACATGACGAGAAAACAAGAAGTTGCTGGCCCATTGTGTGCATTATACCTGTTGCGCGAGTCGTGCGCTTACACAAGCCACTTTTACAAGAAAATGCCCATCCGCCACGTGTTGAAGTTCTTGCACCATCACATCGACACTCCATTTGAAGTGACCATCAACATCAAGGATAGCACGCGTCCACACTTTGGGGGAATGTGATGCTTCTCACATCGAATCCTCCAACGACGGGTCGGAAAGTGACTCCTCTGACCTTGAAAGTGACGAGGATGAAGATGCTTCACCACTTGCTGGACCAAGGCGCCCTGGGCAATCAAGCGTATTCGTACCGGTTGGTCCAGCAGAAGATTATATCAACAGACCTGATGTCATGTGCAAGGACATCTCATGGTTTGAGTTCACGTCCAAGTTCTTCCGCGCGAATAGCGCTGACGGCACATCGTCCGATAAACTCTTCGTGGAACGACATTCCCTGCACAAGTCGAAGTGCATTGGGGTACATCGCTTGGCGCGTATTCCCGTTCTAACTGGTGGTGTGCGCGTGCCATTCTTTGGGGATTGTTTGAAACCCGTGGAGAGAGATATCCACGCCCAAGTTGCTTTGGTTATGTTCAAACCATTTCGTGTGTTGTCGGATTTGTGCCCACACGGCTCAACATGGCATGCAGCGTGGGAAGCCTTTCAACCTACGATGAGCACTGGTTCTGTTGAAGTGTACCATTTCATGCAAAACTGCCATCATGGCCGAAAGAATGCTGCAAAGACAAGAACGTCCAGGGAGGAAGAACAGAACATCCAAATGGAAAACGACTGATGGGCGCCCTGAGCCTGGGGACTTCGACGACATTGACTTCGAAAGCGCACTCCTGGTTGCCAGTAGACATCCAGGAACCAGCCACTTGGACTGTGATGATGCACTCGGAATTGTATCAAGCCGTATCATCGTCGGAGATGAGCAACAAAGTCAAGTTTCCAACTATGACGCCCATTGAAGCGGATATCGTAGCATTGGTTGGTGGCAAGTCCCTCGATGAAGCGTCAACAACAACATCCTCAAGTTACATGTCCATTTTGGGTACTTGGGACCAGCGACATCGTTGCCGTGAACAGTTTGCGTCGGATGTCAAAGGTCTAAAGACATGGATGTCGAAAAAACGCGTGAAACGAGTTGTCACGTCGAAAACCAATTCCGTGTTGAAGAAAGCAGCGATGCATCGATGGCTTGGTGTACAGCCGTCTGGCGAGATTCCAACGTTGGTCCAAGTCAACGTTCCGGGTGCATTGGATCCGTCAACGATTCTGTACACTGGCTACCTGGTTGAGAGGGGCAAAATACCTCAAGCTTTGCCCGATTACGCCCACATCAGTGTTGTTTCGAATGCTTTTGGCCTTCGTATGCGCCAACACTTGAGCTTCACATATATTGTACGTGCTCTATTGCAGCGATGGCAACTTGAAGACGATCGAGATCACGACCCGCGAAGTGTCACCACTGCAATAAGCGCCATACAACTACGAAGTACAGCGAAGGCGGTACTGGAAAGTCGAATGTCATCGCTGCTGTGAAATCGTTTTGTAACTCCTCGAAGAGACCATTCAGCATTGCCAAATCCGCAATGACTGGCAAGGCCGCCGTCTAAGTCAACGAAGTTACGTTGAATAGCTGGATTGGAATGCACAACTTGACCCCGAGCACTGTTCATGACGCGAAAGAAGCCGACGAGAAAGGCGTGCCTGGCTACACGGAAGATCTCAAGCTACTCCTGGTGGACGAAATGTCCATGATGAGCAAACAACAGTTGTTTGACTCGACGAGGCACTTCGTGCACGGACGAAGCTGAACTTGCCCTGCGGTGGAATCAACATCGTTTTGGATGGTGATTTCTTCCAAATGCCCCCTGTTGGTGGAAACCGTTGTATACACTACTGTCTGCGTACAGAGGAGGCTTGAAGTTCGATCTCTACGAAGACTCGGGCTTCCATTTGTGGCGGTCGTTCAAGGATGTTGAGGTGTTGAATGAAAACGTCCGATCCTCCCATGATCCCGAGTGGGGGTGATATGTGAGCCTGGCACGAAAAGGCGAATGGAGACAAGAGCTTGTTGACATCCTGAACAGCCGCATTCTCTCGGATGGTAAAAGCATGGTGTCACCTAAGAGTCAAATGTTCGTCCACACAAGAATTAGGGAATCACAGGTAGAAACCTGGGGGACACACACGAGCATCAAAACACAAGGGAATTGACCTAGCGTTACAGTAGCGAGCGACGACAGAGCATCCGCCCACAAAATTGCGCGCACCACAGCGCAGCGGTGCGCGCAACTTGATGTTTGTATAGGCATAACCCATAATGGCCACAAAGGTCCGACCAATTATTCATAGATGACCATTCTGGGTGACCATATGATTCCCAATTTTCTACCTGTGATTCCCTAATTCTTGTGTGCAGAGTTTCTGTACTCTGTTTTAGCTACTCAGTGCATACATAATGCATAATCGTTCCAAAGACTGAAATACATTATGCATATTATGCAATATATGCGCATAATGCACATATTTTTACTCAAGCGTTTCGTGGACAGTCGATACGTCCCAGTAGCTGCAGTTGCACTTAAGGAAGAAGGTCGCCTCAATCATGATGGGATGGAGTGAAAAACGGTCGAGGCCAATCAAAGCACGCGCCATGCTGAAAAGACGCTCGGCTATGTTTGACGTTGGGGTGACAGCACCAAGGAGGACATAGGTGTCATTCTCGTCGTCCAGGCGCGCACGTTTCAACGCTCTTTCGGCAAATCCAGCATCTTCGTCCGAGGCATCGTCTGCGCCGTAGTTGCTTCGCAGTGCAGCAACGGCCAACTTCTCTGGCCGAGTGAGCGTGCGACCACGTTGAAGCTTCGTGACGGTTTTTTCAAAATTTGGGTTGCCAACAATATTTGCTGATCCACCTACCATATTCTAAGTGTACTAGATATACTTCATATATACACATCAAGATATTGTGTACCAATGTAATGCTCAAAGCTGGGGAAGTCAACGACTAGAGCATCAAATAGAGTTCGAACCTCCCACATTGTAGCGTCGGTAGACTGCACTCGCTTTGACGCGGATTCTACCTTCTTCAAATCTTCCAGCAGACACTTCAACTTCTTCGTTTCACCAAGAGTTGGTAGAATTTCCAAAATAGTGTCGTCCTCGTGGTCGAGATGTTCTCGAAGCTCGAAAAATCGCTGAAGCATGGCAAACGTTGAACTCCAACGAGTGTCTTGGCGGAGAATTGGTCGTAGCTCTGTACGAAACCTACGATTTTAATATACAATTTAGAAATTGAAAATATAAATGAAAGTAAATATGATTCATTATATTACATGATATTAAACAATAAAATAGACTTACAGGAGTTTGGAGGCCTGGTTCAGTGTTCGCAGCTTGATCATCAGCTGCTGTATCTTGACGAGCTCATCCTCATGCTGCTGCGTGTACGCCTTGACCGCAAGATTCAATCGGTGGCTGGCGCAGCCAATCAGCGGTACGGACATAAGCTTGACCAACTTTTTGTTGACGCTGCAGTTGTCACCCACCACGAAGTCACATTGCTTGATGGCCTTCTTGAACATGGCCAAGACCGACTTGATCGCAGTGTAGTGCGTCTTCGCACAGTGGTCGTCATCCGGCTCGTGGATGATGGGCGCGATCGACAGGAGCATACAAAGTACAATAAATACAAGACTTTACCGCCGAGTCGATGGCTTCTCACAGAACGTAAGCGGCAGTCCTTCTTCAACGATCCACGAGATCCAGTGTGACGGTCGTAGGGGTTAGACGCACAAAAGTTACGAAGGTCCGGAGGTTCGGACTTCAGGACCGGGTACTCTCGGCTTGACCAAGAAGAACACAGCAAGAAAGGAGTAGATCCAATGTTAGGCAAATGTAAAAGTGACCTATCTAAAAACTAGCTAAAGCTGACGACCTTTGGGGAAAGGTCGTGTAGAATAAAAGGCAAGACGGTCGAATTCGAAGATGGTCGGCCCGTCGAATAGTATACCTTTGCGATGGTAATACCACGATGTGGTATTGTAGTCCAAGCCCATGCTCCAGCTCCGTCACAAGTCCCGCGGCGAAGATTCGACCCTCTCGTCGAATTAGAAATGAATCGACGGAGTTGGGTAGGTGGTGTCGGGTAGGTCAAAAATGGGTAAAAGGTCCAATTTGCACGTAGCCGGTTTTCGTCGCCACCAAAGTAGTGATGCTGGCGCTGACAACCGACAAAGCCGAGGATAGTGGTGCAGATGGAGGAGCCGGAAGGAGGTCGCGTGAAAATGAGTGGTCATGGAGTTCGGTACGACGAGGCCACGACAAAAATGTACGACGGCACCCGGGACCAGGTGCTGGTAGTCTCAGACTGGACGGACATAATATCGCAGACTGGGCAGATGATTGGACGAAATAGGTCGGAAAACAAGGGAATAGTCGGTCAGAATAGTCCGTCGGACAACAGTCTTCAGACGGGAACTGACTATAGTCTCCATCCATCACTCAGTCAGGCAGCCAATCAGCGGCGACCATGAGTTGACTTCGGCCCGTTGGTAAGATCGTCGATTTGCGGTTCTCTGGGTAGGGCATATTCCAACTTGCTCGTCATGGTTTCTACGTCAGGAGCAGTCGGGAAGAAGGAGCGGTCGTCGTTGTTGTCGAGGTAGTTTAGAACTAAACCAGCGTTTGAGGTTCCACGTCGAGGTCTTTGTATCGTTTCGAACGCCGAAGTGGTGGCAATCCCAAGTCCATTCGTCGAGATGTTTCGAAGTCTTCCACAAAAGATCGGTATGCGGCCAGTTTGGAGTCGGCCATCCAGTATTTAAGACCGTCGGCATGTTCGACCAAGTACTCCTTTTCGCGGGAGTTAGGTAGACGTCGCAGGTCGACTACCCGGAAAATCGGCGACGAGGTAGATGAGTAAGCAACGTCGTCGTCTGGAAAAGACACTCGTTCCACGAAGCTGGACGAGGGTAGGCAGTCGATCGACAATTCGTCGGAAGCTTCGTCAACTTCGGGGATCTCGTCGTCGAACGGGCGTGAATAGTAGCCCCGAAATGGCTTGAGTCGGTCGACGTTCGCAGTTACCATCTTGTCGGGGTGTGATGGTATGTCGATCTTGTACGTGTTCGCAGTCTCTCTGCGTTGGGGTAGAGATTTTGGGCGATCAAGATGTTGTTTTTGTCTGTTCGCAGTCTCTCTGCGTTGGGGTAGAGATTTTGGGCGATCAAGATGTTGTCGATGTTGTTGTTGTGTGTGCACAATACTTTAATCAAGTCTAAGTAGCCGTCAAAAAGCGTCATAATAATCAATACATACTTTAATCAAGTCAACTTAACCGTCAAAATACGTCATATTAGAGCTATCTCAAGATATTCAATACACTATATTGACTACGGGTTTAGTAATCACAGTTCAAATGCAAGTGTGGGGAATGTAACTAAATTGACTGATATTCTGTACAGTACAACTGTACTCTTCCTGAGTTCACTACAGTACATAGTATTGTACACCTACAGTAGATTGTACTAGTATATGCTAGTATATGCTAATCAAGTGAAGTACGTAGTCCACGCGGATGTACAGAATGGAGTAGCTTTCAGTTAACCTTGCATTCAAAGGAAGGACTGGTACATCCGATGAGAGCATGATGCCTGTACTTTGTCTAGTACTAGGAGTACTAGAAGGACAAAATTTGATACCGCATAGAGTAAGCTTACAGTTAATGATTACTACACGTATACTAAGTTGTGCTACAGTACCTGGTACTGTAAAGGACGATATTTGACACTGTATATACTACAGTACAGTACAAGGTACTACTACAGTAGTAATACAGTATTAGTACTACTATTAACAGTCAATAGTACCGTACAACTACTACGTAGTACTACTACTTAGTACTACTACTTAGTAGGTATTAATAGTACAGCAAAGAAGTTCTATGAAGGTTGATTTTCACTGTGTTTCATCAATTATGTCAAGCTATATCTGATTTATAGGAGAATTATCCATACATACATACTAGTGTACAAAGGTATATACAAATTCAGTGGCCCATTCGGTGATAGCGTAAACAATCAATGATTTGCCGAACTTCTTGCCCAATACGATGACAAAATTGATATGATTGGATAAAACTATTTACCCCAGCAAGGAAACCCTTGGTTAGTTGATATTATTCGGGGAATTTTGTTATAGAATTTCAACCTTATTCAGAGGTACTTTCAACGTATGATACTTATTTGCTTTTATAAATAGATATTTGTATCGTTGCTCGAAGCATTTCTAATACTTTAATAAAATCTATATTTTGGCATATCAATGATCACTGTTTGGAGTGGCCACCTTTACAATTTCATTACTTCAATTCCAAACATTTTAATTCCCTTTCTATCTAAATCTAACTAAAGAGCTTGGACTAAAGAAAACTTCGTAACATTCAACATATGTCATAATAATCTTTAAAATATTTCCAGTTGAATATACAGTGCATAGTATACGAACAGTTCTGTACAGTATATTGTGTATGTTAATCAGTAACATTAAAAAGACCTCTTAAGAATTCTTTAAAATATGTGCAGTTGAATGCTACCAAGTACGTATTCGTACAGTGCATTGAATTTGTTATTCAAGTGAAGTAACGTCCGAAATACGCAATAATAATCCTTCAAGATGTGTGCAGCTGAATATGCAGTAAGGGGAAGCTCCAAGTAGTTTTCAGAAATAGCATGAGGCAATCAAAATCGATATTCCTCTTTTTTTTCACGATTTAGGAATAGACGTCAAGGACCTCTTTTTCTACTTTTGGTATAGTGAATTGCGTGAAAACTCGCAGAAAAAGAGGTAAAAAGTGGGAAACTGTACTTGGAACCACTTTTTCATTTGATAAAAATACCTACTTGGAACAGGTCCTAACGTTACATAGTATACGTTCAGTACTGTTT